ACTTGTTTAAAGTGTCGCAGGAATTTGTCTGGCACCACTAATAGTTGCCAGGACCCTCATTCTTAATTGTCAACTGCAAAAATGCGTCGCCAATTTGAATTATGTTATAGCCACAAAAATCCTTATATCAGCAAAGAGGAGATATCATTAGGGATGTTCATATCGCCTCTTTATTATGAAGTTGCCGACAGTAGAAACTCATTTCTAGCCTTTTGAAGCTGAGGTGGCTTTGATGGTAAAGTAGGCACAGTGTCACACCTAGGCAAACGTAGGCAAACGCAAAAGCACATGTTGAGCCCCTCGGTGCCCAGAATTTTTCTCAAGCGATTTTTCTGTTCTTGAGTTGACTCGTCTGAATCAATTCTTCCGCCTTAGTTGATCATGAATACTAGCTAACAATCAAAAGGAGGCGTCATTTTGTCAGGCGTTTTTCGCATCTTTGCGATTCTAGCTTTAGCAGAATACCAATCCCAGAAAATCAAAGCTCACATTGATGACAAAAATAGGAAACTGCGTTGAATTCCGCCTTTTATATCAATTTCCTCCCGCTATTCGCCATTAACGGCCGATGTTCACCACCACTAACTCCCAGTCTATGGCATTTTCCGAAACCAGTTGACACGCAAAGTTCATTTTTTCTTCAGATTTGCTCATTTCTGACTCCACGGCGAAGGGGAGTTGTGTCTATGAGCTAACAACAAACATCAAATGTTGAATTTATGGCCTTGTTCAAAGCATCTTCATGAGTGAGGTTTTTTTTTTTTAAATTTCAGAAAAAATCGCCGAACACCTCTTCCAGTTCACTGACCTCTTCCTTTCCACAATTACAACCCTTCACAATTTCCGAAGAGATCGCTGACTGGTTGCCCCCCCCCCTCCTGATCGTGGTATTATCGTCCGAAGACGTGATTGCCGGATTGATCCTTTCTGTTCTAATGATGGATATGGATGCGCCAATAGCTGAATGGATGCACAGCTAACCTTGCAGTGCCTGGTAAGTTCCAAAACAGGGAGTTACATGTAGTTAGGTTCTAGGGTAACGCCCAGATTGCAGCACTTTTTTTGGACAATTACACCGTACACTATGTACTGTTTCCTTGTGAACATGACTGCCTCTGCTCATAGCTTGAAGAAGGTCTGTCTGTTTGGTCTTCAATATGAAGCCAGAAAGCGCGTCAAAGCAAGATTGCTCATTTTAAAACCATCCAGGGATAGCTAATTTGACGAAAACAAGAAAAGAACACAAGAATGCCTCATTCACACATCGATTAAGTTACGATAGCTGAGAACTCCCTTTGTTTCTCTCTCCATTCTACTGGGCTCAGTCACAAGTATTGGGTGCTGATTTCTTCATACTCGTGCCATTCACGCCAAAAAAACGTTTGCGTAGTTCCTAGCAATGAGCTGTGTGCTGTTCCTTATCCTTCCATATTATAAACTGGACCGTCAGAACTCATTTCTATTTAACAAGTAAGGCCGTCCATCTCGACTCATGCCGTCACTGTCTACTGTACATAGCACCTCTATCTGGAGCACTCAGCGAGGGAAGCTCATCAAAATATATGCGAAACTGAAAAAACAGTCATCAAAAGAGAAAGTGGTTCGGTAGGTTTTGCCAGGAAGACCTCAACCTTGAAGGCCAACCTGGTTCCGGACACCCACTTACTGTAGATACTGTTCGCATCCAAGGGCTTCTTGAAGTCAACTGTGCAGCGCGCTAGTGCACGTCCATCGCAGTGGCCTTCAGGCCTACTAAGCGTGCATGCGTGTGCCTTTGGCTTGGGAATACAGGTGAGGGAGAGATGAAGTCCTCCTCACGAGTTAGATGAGGTTGCTCCGAGGACACGTGTGAATATCTGCCAAAGTTTGCTCTTTAAAAGTCGCAGTTTCGATAGGCTTGACAAGGGGTCACTGTGGTAAGAAATGCGCAGTCTATTCAAGCAATACACAAACGCATCAATGAGGGGCATGCAGATCATCAGTTAGTGATGAACTTCGCACAACTGCGTTTCGCTCTCGTCTTTTCTCGGTTGTGCATTAATTACAGCCTTCAACCAAACTGTACCTTTGTTTGCAGTGCTTTGAGGGGTATCGCAAGTTTAAGCTTGTTACTGTTGATGAAACTGTTCCATTGCGCAGCAGTTTGCAGTCCACATGACATGAGCGAGTGCCTATATAGCATTACAGAACTTTCATGGTTCTCCCCCGCTCTTCATAATCCACTGATGATATATCAATCAGGCACCAGTGTTCCCCTTGCTTGCTCATTCCCTGAAGGAAGAAAAACTACTACGATCACGAACACCTCGGAATCGACGTCCAGTCGCATTTTTTGCATCGTAGGCTGCATTATTCAAGATGAGGTACTCATTCACTTGCAAATAGATGAAGGTCAGATTCGAACAGTATGCGGTCTATATGGCAAACCAATAAAGATAATTCTCAGAAGGTTGTGAAATTTTGTAGGCTGGTTGACTAACGGCACTATTGTGATTCAGATAGTGCAACGAGAGTTTCGAGAAGGATTGCAGCATTGAACAGCTTGGGATGGAATGCGACTGTGAGAATTCGCCAGTTGTGTACTACTTTGTTCCATGAGCTAATTTCAGGTGCAACCCATTGTACGGAACTAACCTACTTGTTTGGAGTATCGCTTTTGTTTGGATTTCAATTTACTGATGCTGATAACCGAATGATCGACCTTATGACGCGAATGTGGACTAATTTCGCCAAATATGGGTGAGCTCTTTTTTTAGTGCCTCTTCGTGATAAGGAGTGATCAGCTGTACGAGTAGTTGTTACTTAAAGGAATCTTCCACGGACCATGGACCAGTGGGCGGGACCGGAAGTGGTTTTGCGACGAAATGCATGGTAGGTACGGATCCACGTTCATGGGAAGGTTTGAAGTGAATCCTGTTCACGTTCGTGCGTTCGACACGTGGATCCGTACCTACCATGCATTTCGTCACAAAAACTTCCGGTCCCGCCCACTGGTCCATGGTCCGTGGAAGATTCCTTTAAGCCTGATATTTGGTGTATAGTGCCATCCCGCAGATAGCCTTTACAAAAACACCTGAAAGCTTGCGTTCCCGAAGCATTAGTGATTTACAATAATATTGAATAGTCACTGCAGAAACCCAAACGGGCCCTATGAAGACTCAACAGTGTTCGACTTCAAATGGGAACCGGTAACCTTACAAGAGTGTGGCAGGTAAAACAATTCACATAGACATTTTTCAGTTCGCTGAGATCAAGTTTTGTCTTTCTGTGAAAGCCTGCACAGATGCGGCTATTCGCCAGCTTTCTTTGCGCTTATTGCACTCGCCATCTTCAGCCATCTGGTCATTGATGAAAAGTGTGAAATGCGTCCGATTTACGAGGAACGAAGGGCCGAATTTTGGAAGAATATCGCGATAACGGCAAAGAGCAATTGAATCATCGTCCTTTCAATTGGAGCTCAAATTTACTAAGGTGAATCATGTGCTACTCCGTTGCGTCGCGATTCGTCACTCTTTGGACCATTCGCTATGGCTACTGGAAGAAACTTTCTTCTCCTACTTTTTTCAACGGTCAGCCTCCGCTGCTACAATATTATCGTTTTTACTAATGGCCATCGCGACACTGATTTGGGTTGTCATCTTTGATATTCTATGGTTCATATATGCGATATTTCAATGTAAACCATATTTATCTCGGCAAATTTTGATGTGTTCCTGACCAGGATTACTATTTTGAAGTACTAGAAATCACTACAGTGCATATACGAGCCGCACACGAGCGTATCTGTATCGAGATACACAGATATAGGTGCAGACACCTTCATGAGAGAGCAGTTATTGCTGTAGACTGCCCATATTAATCGACAGCGATTGGCAAATGAGGAAGTTTGTTAGTAGAAAAGGAGAAGTTACTCAGCTCGCGTTTTTGTAAACGTATCGGGACCGTGCGCCTCGTGAGTACATGTACGCAATAGAGCAGCTGTATTCATTGTAATTGATAAGTGAATGAAGTTGTGACAATTGAATTATCAGTAATGAAGGATAGCTCAAAACCTGCTGCGAACGGCTCAAACATTTCGCGCTGATAGGGCGGGGTTTGCACTCAGCTCTGCAGAAGCCTCATTCTTGAATTCCCTTGGTACGACGAAATTAAATAAAATGAGGTTATGGAGTGGGGCATACTGAAATGAACATAACATAACGCCGACGATGCAGCTTGCGCCAAAAGAGCTTGAGATTCTTAGCAATTTTTGACTAATACCCCTCAGTAACAACAGAAACTGTCCTGTCTTCAAGCTCAACGACCATCATTCGTTAAGGATGAACCCGCATCGTGCGTTTTGTTAGAGGTATCAAACCCTTGAAACCTCGTCCGCATTATATGACAGTACTGTTTTCGCCTACATTTCTGAAGTATTGTTCCGCGTATGTCTGTTTTACGAGGTGAAGTCACCGTCAAGGAGTCGTTACATTGACCGTTGACAGTGACACACAACATCACTTAGCGGCTTTGCAAGTTCAATGGGTAGATTCCTGCGCGCGATATACGTGTCGCACGTGGTGTGAGTGACTTGCTTACCGTAGGGCTCAAAGTTCCATTGCTGTTGGGGTCTGTATGTGATTGTTGATTTATAAAATGAGGCGTGCTTCTTTTTGTATTTGATTTAACCTTGCACTTAGTGAAATACATGTTAATTTGTTACTTGTTAAAAATTCCTCGGCGAAGAAAATGTCTCATAGATTTGTACAGGTAATTTGTGCAAAGGTATTCGTTTGATTGTTAATGAGAATTTGTTTCACACGGGTGTATGCTCTAGGATTTTTTTTGCTGTTGAAGTAATAAATATTTTTAGAGCCTTCTAATCATAAACACATTTATGCAAGGAACATCACTGCAAAAACAGCGCACATGTTTAAAAAATACAGATTCAGATATACAGATGAGGACAGTGAGTGGAGCTCATCTCTCCTCCTAACGATTCGCATGAGAATCCATCAAGATTAGCGGCAGCAAAGGTAATTGGGCTCTCCACCGTTCTGAAAATATTGATACATGTATAATACTATTGAACGGTGGGGGCCGTCGACGCTGCCTAGCAGGTGCTTCTTCTGCACGCGTCTTCCTGATTTCATCAAAGTGAATTCATTAGCAACTAAAAAGAGCTAAATAGAAAGTGCAAAGTGCAGACCTTCTCAAACTCTGTGGTACTCTCCCGGCATTCATAGCCATCTGGACAGCCATCGGCTTCACTGTTGGGATCGCACAGCAGTGGTACAGCTGACGGCTTGCCCGACGGACAAACTAGAATATCTTCTTACGAAACCGTGTTTCAAAGATGCTGAATATGGACATTAAAGCGCTGGAAATTGGAACCAGAGCGATCAATTTCGCATTCAATTGGTGAACGCAACTGCTGGAAATTCTGAATTATTGTCTCCATGAAGAAGATTATGTGTAATAAGTTACTCAGATCATACTTGACCTACATTTCCGCATGATTTCGCAACAGGTATCTAGCCATATTCTGGCATACACCCCTCCCTCTTTTTTTATTGGTGTCTATGGGCTCGGGAATCTAACATAGTCGCCAATACGAGATGAAACGGATTTGATTTTTCAAACGATCACACTTCATCCAGGGCGTAATGAGAAGATGGCTACCTGAAGTATGTGGGTGAAACTTACGCGGTTGTACAGCCCCTGCCTTGGGCTCACAGCATACTCGTTGCAAGCGGTTGATACTGTAGACACAAGCTCCTGAACTACAATCATTTTCCGATTTACAGGAGTCCGTCGCCGATAAGAACGGCAAGTAGCAGTCGGGTACTGAAATATTGAGATTAAATGAGAATATCTTTAAGTTTTAGTATAAAAAAACAGCAACAGTGAGAAGGCGAAACGCTAAATGTTTAAAAATTTGTGGGAATTCTTGGCCCTACTCGGAAACTGAAATTGAAAACCCAATGTTGCAGTGGCATATCCACCAGATTCAAGAACTTTTCAGTAACGCCTTTTCTGATTTCTCTTGGTAATATCTTGTGGGCCTAAGCGAAGCATTCGCTCTAGTGAGGTGCAGTAAAACCCAAATTATAGCATGAGATTCGTGGAACAGAGTAACTGGGCACACATAAAAACCGAACAAAAGAGGGAACATTCTCTTCCCATTTTTCTGTTCGCAAAGTATCCATATCCTTTCATACTCTTCAACCTCTCCCTTCTGCGTCCCCTTTTTACCATTCACTCCTACTTATTGAATAATCCAGCGATGGATTTTGGGTGCATTTTGGGCACATTCTACTGTTGTGTTATTTCCCAATTCAAAACTGGGAACCCGGAAGACGGAACCATCAAGGCTGAATTTTTTCATATGTTTTTTTTCTAATGTGAACTAATGTGAAATTTATTCAACAAAAGTAATAGAACCAAGCCTTTACAATAGAAATTGTGGGGAATAATAACAACCATCACTGCTTCCGCAACCTAATGTGTAAACGCTTGAAAATGAGCTCGCTCAACCACCTGCAGTAACAGCTGTGAATATTAGAACAATGACGGCGAAATTCATGGCAGTGGTCGATGATGGCAGTATCCGGCATCGAGCCGTGCAGAACGCCTTTATAGCAACATCGTAGCCATTGTTCTCAAATGTTTGTTGATTTTTTTGCGCCCGTAGGCAGCTCGACCCCCCCCTGCCGTTCCCTCACCCTTCGGCGAGAGCACAGGCTAGATACACTTCTACCCATTCGCTTTCATGAATGCGCGCTGAGCGCGATAACCTTGCTGCTGCAAACTTGACTTTCTAAGACTCTGTCGGCACGTCGCAGCTTTTATAAGGAGATAGTGCAGGTAGGAACTGCTTTGAAAAGTTGGCTTTGGTGCATGAATTTTGAAAGACCGCTGAAATTGTTTGATCGTTAGGAAATGGGTCATGGTCTATGATTTTCAAACATATTAACGTAAAATAATTGTGATGGTAGGGGTTCCTGGACAACTGGAAACGAAAAACAAAATGAATGAAGAAACATTTTGTAAAATCAAGTAACAAAAGTTCAAATTTTTCATTTCCAGAGCATTACGCCTGATAGTCGTAACAGAACTCCTGCAAATGGTACTGAATAATTTGTTCTTTGGACACACTCAGCACAATGAGACAAGTTGACTTTATTCAGGTCCTCTTTTGTATGAACGTTTCTGTATCCACCCCGTCTGCTTCGGTTCGATACAAAACTGTTTCTTCTTTAGTAAAATCAAATATACAACGACGCCAGGCGGAACGCTCCACCGTGGCAGCTGTGTAATTAGTCTTGCAGCCGCCGACAAAAATTGGAACACAAGGTGACGTCATGACATGCCGAATGGAACGGATGCGCATCTGTGCACTGTATGAATTTCAAACATCGCCGGGATATTCAAAAGCTGTCTGAATAAATATTAATGATCATTTTTGTAACGTACATTGAAAGCCATAGGACGTATATGTTGTTTTACGTAACATTTTCGAATCAATTCTTTGATTTTATCGTGAAACATTTTCTGTCTCAAGCAAAGCTCGCATCCTCGCATCAGTAGCAGTGCCAAAAACTGAGCAAGTCCGGGTCATAGCAAGATGAAATAGACTTCCAAATGCCAGCCACAGGCGCGTGCGTGGCGTATCCGAGGGCAAGACTTGCTTGTGCAGACCGCATTAGATTCGATTTATTATGCACAGAGAGACAGTTTTAGGCAAATTACGGTTTTCAAGTATTGTATTGGTTTCATCTAGAACGATTGTTGATGTACAATTAGCCTTTTGTATTTGTAGACCTGAGGAAGGGCTTACGGCCCGAAACGTCGTCACATAAAGCTATTTGAAGAGTTTCATCTGCACATCAATTGCAAAGAAAGTAGCAAATTACGGTGTTTTCTTACGGAAGAACAGTTGAATGCATCCCTATGAAAGGTTTGACTTCTCGGGGCTGAAATTAAAGTTCTTCGGGACCCTAATTTTCTGGGACGATTCTTCCAGACAACGTAAAACACATAAGAAAGCAGAAATCTCGTAGTCTTCAAAAATGTCTTCGCCCCTCCCCAACAAGTTCTTTGAAGGAAGTTATTATTGCTGAAAGCTCAAAAACTCGCATGTGCTGCTCAAAAACCTATGGGAAAATGTTCGAACGTGTGATTTTCTCGAAAAATGAACTTTGAAAAACGGTTTGGTGCTTGTTAGAAAGAGCAAATCCTGTACTTTCACCCCATGAAAAAGTGCATCACAGAAATGAAAATGAAGTGAGTTATGCCGCTTAAAGCCCAAAAACTCGCGATTTCAAAAAAAGTGTTCGGCAAAACCCCCCAAAATGTTCGAACGTGTGATTTTCTCGAAAAATGAACTTTGAAAAACGGTTTGGTGCTTGTTAGAAAGAGCAAATCCTGTACTTTCACCCATGAAAAAGTGCATCACAGAAATGAAAATGAAGTGAGTTATGGTGAAAGCCCAAAAACTCGCTTTTGCACGAAAAATGTTCGAACGGGACAATTTTTTGAAAAAGGGGACAATCACTAAACTTTTTATACTGTTTTGTTAGAGAAATATTTGAAGTTTCTGAAACTTTTTACAGATTTCCAAAATGTCGCATACGAAAGATATTATGGGCCTTCAAAGTTGGAGGCAGGGTCAACCGTCACGTTCGAACATTTTCGGGATTTTTGCGACCCCCCCCTCGAGGGGGTCCAGTTGCGACCCCCACCAATACACAGTTGCGACCCCCCAATACAACCAGCCTTCCCCCACCGCGACCTCTCCCTCTTCTATAGTATTTGATTCTGAGACCAGTTGACACAGCCCAAAACCTACCTAAAACTCCGAAACTCCACCCACTTTTCCTCTTTTTCCCCAAAAATAGCCATCGAACGGAGAGAGAGGGGGACCCCTCTCCCAACCCAAATGCGACCCTCCGTTCGAACAGTTCGAACGGACGGCTGACCCTGGTTGGAGGTGCGCCTTCTCAGAATTTTGGGTTTTCCACTTTTAACAGAAGTACTTTCCGGAGAGTTAGGCAATCCTTGTAGTTTTCTGAAAGCGCACCTCAGGCACAGTCAATCTACCTCAACAAGTCAAAAAAGTACGTCCCAAGAAAGTTATTCCCCTCTAAAATATTTTTCTTCGCCGCGTCCCGTTCTCTCAGCGCCCGGGTGATACCTGCCGCGCTCCAAGGCTGACGCCGCAACGCAGACGCGCCCCAAATCTTCAGTTATCGTGAGTCTTCCGCCGCTACTACTTGATGTTTTGTTTCCATTTCTTTCTTTCCATTTTTGTTTCGTGCGGACCACGCTTCACTCTCCCTTAAACATCAGTTGGCTTTGACGCCTATTCGGCTCTAGCTTGAGGATGGAGAATGTAAGGATTCCTTTTAGCTAGTCCATCTGAACCATAAATCAAAGTCGAGTGGGTCAGAGAGCACTCTCAAAAACTATAACAGGGGAGGGTCGCAAATGGACTCCCTCGAGAGGGGGGGGGTTGCAAAAATCCGGGAAATATGCGAACGTGACGGTTGACCCTGGTTCGGAGAACACAGTATACATACAAGGCGAAGTGGCGCTCTCATCACATGCGCCATGCGGTAAAATTTCTCAAGTTAGCTTCAGGATCTTTAGTTGCGCTAGTTTCAGAATATGTGTTCTCGGTTGTCGTTAACCGGACACTTTTTTGAGCTGTTGAAACAGTTTTTGTTGTTTCTCCGAATTCCAGCGAGAAAGAACTTCCTGGTGATTTTTCGCGAACACTCCACCAGACGGACTGTATGTTCTTTCGCTGAACTGACTAGCTCTCGGCCTTTCTGTCGGTCCGGCAACTAGCCCTCCAATATATAGTCAACGAAGTGCTGACACTTTTTTATCATCAATAATGACGTTATACCGCCAGTTCAAACGGGGAGACCGCGACAAAAGTTGTAGTGCGTTCGTGTCGTAGTCCTGTCATCACCGGTAAAGCCATGAAAAATCGCTTGCCTAAGCTTCAACTCCGTTCCGTGGAAATGAAAACCTTCATGAAATAAGCACCCGGAATATCTTAGTGTGGTGGCTACAGGCCGGATGGCTCGCGCGAGTTGGCTTCTGCGGCAGCGCAGTTGGTTCAAATCCGACACCCATGTCTTACTTGAACAAGGGTTTTCTTCCAGGCTGTGACCTCCTCAGCGAAGTAAATTCAACCATTCTGACACCGAACAGTGAACGATGGCAAGGAGAACTATCGCGAAGGAAATTCTACTTTCGGCTTTTATCGGTTTGCGGCCCCAGTATAAGTTCATAAATCAGAGCATAGGAAACATAGCTCTTTCCTTCCCTTATTTTGAAGTCGAAGAAAGCAACTAGGGCGGGCCAGATTTGGTTGCTTGTTTTGGTTTTCACGTAATGCGCTCTTCCTAGCTTACCTGAGGCATATCGAAAAATCTGAATAAACTCTTAGCATGAGATCCAATAAGTAGCGCAAACTCTTGGGACACCTTAATATTTTGTGGAACGCCAACACCAATCGGATGTGGTCGCCTGGGATGAGCTGTCAACAGCTTTGTGACGGGTTAATAACACAGACCTGTAATCTATCTGAACGTGCGATCTTTTAATCCCCAATCAAAGGGTGTCGGGTGAAAATGGCCAAAAATCACACTACGTTTGATAGTTGCATGCACAGCACATTTTATCAACAACGAGGACCTGTTATAAACCTTCTCGAAAAAAGGAAGAGCGTACTTAGATTTTTCCTCGAGTTCTGATTCACTTTACATTGCTATGGGAGTCTTAGAAAAATCTCGACGCTTCGAAAAATCATGCGACTTAACATATCACGTCTGCCAATCCTAAAACCAGCCATCCGAGAGGGTCATAGCTCATCATTTCAGGAGAATATTGAGGGCTTATCATAACTGATCAGAGAGGGATTCTCCTCATCCACTACGCATCTCTCGCCCAAGATTTTCGCAGACGGTTTTTCAAAAGGTGTGCACACATTAGTCGTACAGGATAGTACTACGCTACTGCCGTAACAGGATAATGCTTCTGAGACATCCTCACAAACTAAACCCAAATCTTATATTAATGAGATGGGATTTAACTTCCATAAGTGTTGAGGCTGCAGCATCTTTGGACACGGCCGGACATTCCATGCTCTCGCTGTTTGCTGTCCCTTTCATCATTGCTATCCTACATGATTCCGATGAGGAAGCTGGTGCTGTTTCTTGAACGTTACATAAGCGGCAGTTGGCTTGTTCCTCTAAATCCCCTCCCCCGCCCTCCCTTCTGGCAACCACAGATGCGTAACCGTGCATAGAAGTTGCCGACAAGGGCGCTGACTCGGCTCAAGCCGTTTAGACAGCGTGGACACCCGGAGTCGGCGTACATTGTGATGTTCCTGCCGCAAACACGTAGAATGCGCGGCGCATTGACGCGCTTTCTGGGGACCTTCTATTAGGTTGTCTCATAAGTAGTGTCGCTTTTTTTCAACCAAAATTTTCATCTAAATCCCCATGCTTTTACATTCATATACCATTCGAAAGAGAATTGTCTGCTCTACAAGATGCTGTGTTCTTCTTC